GCACGATCCCTCCAGAAAGATCTGGCAGACACTGGAGTTGTGGTACACTATTCCACTATAAAGAAATACTTGTACAAATATGGTCTTCATGGAAGAGTCATCAGAAGAAAACCCCTTCTACGTCCTCACCACAAAAATCATTGTTTGAACTTTGCAAATGAACATATAGACAAGCCTGATGCATTTTGGAAACAAGTTCTGTGGACCGATGAGGTTAAAATTGAACTTTTTGGCCGGAATGAGCAAAGGTTCGTTTGGAGAAGAAGGGGCACAGAATTTAATGAAAAGAACCTCTGTCCAACTGTTAAGCATGGGGTTGGATCAATCATGCTTTGGGGTTGTGTTGCAGCCAGTGGCACAGGGAACATCTCACGAGTAGAAGGAAAAATGGATTCAATAAAATTTCAGCAAATTTTGGATGGTAACTTGATGCCATCTGTGAAAAAGCTGAAGTTAAAGAGAGGATGGCTTCTACAAATGGATAATGATCCTAAACACACCTCGAAATCCACGGGGGATTACATCAAGAGGCGTAAACTGAAGGTTTTGCCATGGCCTTCACAATCTCCTGACCTCAACATAATTGAAAATCTATGGATAGACCTTAAAAGAGCAGTGCGTGACAGATAGCCCAGAAATGTCAAAGAACTGGAAGACTTTTGTAAGGAAGAATGGGCAACGATACCTCAAACAAGAATTGAAAGACTCTTGGCTGGCTACAAAAAGTGTTTACAAGCTGTGATACTTGCCAAAGGGGGCAGTACAATATATTAACTCTGAAGGGTGCCCAAACCTTTGCAGACGCCATTTTTTTGTTTTCTGTTATTTTGAAAGTGTAAATGATGGAAATAAAATCTAACTTTTGTTGACATATTATAAGAATGTCTAATCTGTAATTTGATGCCTTTTGGAGATTTTTCCATCTTTCCTTGGCTTCTTTATGCACATTAATACAAATTTTTAGCTGGGGTGCCCAAACTTTCGATCCCCACTGTACATACAAACTATAGGAGAGTTGAAAGGATAAGTTCACTCAAAAAAATAATAATAAATTGCACATTTTTTGCAGGTAAAAAAATGCGCATTTATAATGTTTTTTTCTTAGGAGTCTGCAGAGCATTGCACTCACAATCAGTAGATTACAGGTGTAATGTCAGGCTCCTGCAGACATTCAGTACAGCTGTCTGCCTGTACCTACCATATGGGCAGACAATTACTGAAGTGCAAGAAGAATAATGAACTATGAGGGCGCTATTTGGTGCCCTTGCAGTTTGCTAAGAATTACAATCCATCTGCCATAGTGGCAGACAGGACTTGTAGTTCATTCATTCACGGATCTGTGTGAATGAATGATGTGACTGTGTGGACAGAGCCCCGTACAACCGCCTTGTTTTTAAATTGTGACAGCGGGTGCGGGGAGCAGATTCCCTGTCTGTTGTCACAAAGGGGGAATCAGGGAGTTTGGGGGAGGTGCACAGTAACACCAAAATCTGTTACCAATTTAACTTTAATATGCTCTTTCAATTTTAACAGAATGTCCTTTTTAAACACTTTATGTGGTGGCTGTGTCCATTTTCAGGATAAAAACATTTTCAGTTCAATTCTTAACTCCTTAACAATGAGCATTGGCATATATGCAACCTCACAGAAGTGGGTCTTCTTCCATGGGGCTGCTTTTATGCACCGCTGTGTTTGTGCTAAGAGTGCACTGCACAGCGCAATCCCAGCACATAGACCAAGAGGTCACCGAGAGCCCCAGGTTTCGTACTAACAACCTGGCTCCTGATCACTATGACAGCGTCTGATTGGCTATCACAGTGCTCAGTCACTGTACAGCCCACCTCTATGTATTTTTTTTCTCCTCTTGGACTACACCAGAGTCCGACGCCAAAGCATCCTGGAGTTAATGAAATCACTTTATTTATCCATGAAGACATCAAAAGGAATCAATTCTTTGTAAGGTATTGACGCGTTTCAGCCTCTTGTAGCGGTCCTAGTCATAATATGACTAAGCGCCTAGTAAGTTTTCCCTTCTTGCCTCTTCTGCAACCATTTAATTGCAGCCTGAGCCCTCAGAGAAGAGAGTTGAACATTGATATAGATATTAGTTGATATTATATTAATCGATATTAGTTGGGATTCATTTTTATAATTTTTTAAAATAATTTTTATATTATTTATGGTTTATATTTTCTGGTGACTTTTATATAACTTTTATTTATCTTTTTGGTGATAGGATTTTTTTTTTGTACTCATCATTTATATGATTGTACTTTTCATCTGTATAATTTTGAAACATGTCAGAAGGGACCTTACGTGCTGATGTCACGCCGCCGAGTTTGTGTTTGTTCGTAAGTTCAGCCGCATTGTTTTTTGTCTCTCTTTATTCCATGTTCATTATAATGTGTTTTTAACTAGTTTTGGGTAATAAAAATACTACACTATGTACTTCACTCTGGGCTCCGTGTGGTGAGCAATTTTCCAATAGGGTATGTTTTTTGGTTAACGATCCTGCCATGCTGAAGAGTGAGGACATGCCTATGTTGGCTTGAGTGTCATACTATTGAGTTTCTGGTGAGTGCACATTGGTAGAGGAGTTGCACTGAAGATTGGTCACGGATTTTGGATTCATGTCACCATATTGCACTTACAGTGGAGATTGCTGATCATTTGCACTTTTCATGAACAGTTGTATATTGTTGCACTAGCATTTTTTCACTCCAAACAGTACAATAATTTGAATAGTTATATATGATTGCACTAGCACTTGTTCGCTTTAATAGTATATGAGTCATTAAGAGATTTATATACATTTTTTATTAAATTATGGTTGATTATTTAGTTATATAATATTGAACTTATGCTCATTTTCTACTGTATGAGTTGCACTATATATGGTTTTATTAATGTGATTTAAGCGCTGCGCTATTTGTTTTATATTTTCTTATTGGGTTGGTTCACCTTTAAGTGCTAGCAGCTCTTGTCTCTAAGCGTTCACTGTGCTCTTTCTCCTTTTTTTTTAATACTGCTATTGTACCTGTCTTTTGACTCCTACCAAATGGGTTAATGCTCAGGCATTCACCTGTGTGCCCGAACAGCCAAGGATTGAATCGAACTTGTGTTCAAACCGAACCTTAAAGTGTTACTAAACCCACAACAGTAAAATCCGCCTGTATATGCTGTAAAGCATGCTTATTATACTCACTGTGAAACATAAGTGAGTGTGTAAAAATGATGTTTGATCATTGTGTAAAAATGATGTTTGATCCAGTCTTCTCTGATCCTCCCTTTCTTCTACTGTCCCCTATCCATCTGCTGATAGAACAGAACCTTGGGGGCAAGCTGCACATGCTCAGTTTGGTGTATTGCTAGAGATTTTTTTTTTCTGGGAGAGTGTATGTGATCAGCACAGGGCCAAGCAGCACTATCCAGACAGAGTGTCAGGGGTCATGCAGCCTCATAGGACAATCAGGGGAGAATGAAAAATACCTCCTACAAGCTTTAACCAGTACTCTGCTGGACACTAATAGAAGTTACAAGATTGCTCTAACTGCTGATAAGAAAAGGTATTTAGCAGTTTATAGTTACTAAAATAATTGCATTTTCATGTTCTGTGTACTGTGGGAGACCAGATATAGTGAATGCAGGGTCCTGGGTTTAGTAACACTTTAAGCTCATTCCTAGTCATTTTACATTAATGTGATCAGTAAGTTGTAAACATAAATTTAAACAATAAAATAACAAATGTGGCATACCTTAAATATTTGACACCCAAAAAAGATACTTTTTAAACTCCCTTCTCTATAAAACTCCCTTCTCTATAAAACAAAACAATTGTCAGCAATATGCATGAAATTAATATTACAAAGGGTGAGAAAAGAAACAGTGGAAATGATAGTGTTCAGTAACATTCGGATTCAGTGGAAGAATGCCCTCTTACTTACTAGTCTGTTGAAAAGTGCTTTCTTACATTGTTGATCAATAGGAATACTACCTTATTCACAGATAGCAATGATTTGTGATGTCAGTGATTACTGACGGACTGAAATTGTGCATTGCTTGACTCTAGTAAACTCAACAACACAAAACCCTGGTTAAGAAAGGATACACAAGAGGTTAGTAGGTTGCTGTGGACAGTAGCACAATACTTATTTCAGGCACTAATAAAATATCTACAATTGTTTACGCACTTTCTGAAATGCCTTTAAGTGTAAATTGTCCATTCACTCCAAATGATAGCATGTTTTGGAATTAACAACCTATAGTGCTAATGAGATATTATGGTATGTTAGATAATCATGTGGCCCTCATTTGTTACCCTGGAGTATGTGTTCAGTTACTGACGCATTACTTTTTTAATACAAGTTTTTTTTTATCTCTAACTTTTCAGTGACATCTTAAAGAATTCCTTGATGGATCGTCTATTGAAACTTCAATGCCATTTTACTTGGAACCTGCTTGGAGAAGATATAGACATTGATCATGTGGAAGAAAGGGTAAATGACCAGATTTCGTTTTTGTCAGATGCAAAGAAACACAGGATGTATAACATTCTGGCTTACCTAAAGCACCTCAAAGGAGACCATGAAGAAGCTTTGCTCCAGCTCCAAAAAGCTGAGGCACAGATCCAAGAGTCCAGCGAATCAGAAGATGCAGATGTTAAGAGAACTGTCATGTATGGTAATTTTGCTTGGGTTTTCTACCACCAGAAGCAGTTTATCGAGAGTTCCACCTATGCTGAAAAGGTGGAGATCATTTTAAAGCAAAATGAGCCTCCTTCAAAGAAAAGCATTCTCCTGTTAGACATATATGGTGAACAAGGTTGGACTTACTTATCCTTTACAGGAAATTACTATCATTGGGCTGCTGAGTGCTTTGAAAAAGCTCTAGAACTTGACCCAGAAGATCCAGAATCAAATTCAGGCTATGCCATGGCTGTGTATAGAATGGAAGGTTTCAGCTTCAACAGCAAAAAAGCAAACAAATCTTTTCCACTCTTGGAACGAGCTGTTAACTTAAATCCCAGCGATACAGTGGTGAAGGTTCTCCTTGCTTTGAAATATCTATATATGAAGAATCATGATCAAGGAGCTATGTTAATAGAACAAGCTCTACAAGAACAGCCAGAATCCCCTTATGTTCTTCGATATGTGGCAACATTTTACAAAAGAAGAGGACAGATAGATAACGCTATTGCAATATTTAAGAAAATACTCACTTTAACTCCCACCTCTTGTGCTGTTTATTATCAACTTGGCACTTGTTTCAAACAATTGATAAGAATGCCCAAAGCATTAAAAGGCCAGTCTACCCATGACAATAGGCAGCAAAATGCTGAAGCCATTGCAAATGCAATATTTTACTCTGAAAAGGCTGTCGAGCTAAACAGGTCATCTGTAGCAGCACACAATTTATTGATTAATGTATACATGAAAACTAATGAATACCAAAAGGCAAAAGAAGTATTTGGCAAAGCTCTGACCATAAAGAGTATGAGGTGTGAAGAGAAACAAGAGCTCCATCTCAGCTGGGCACAATATTTAATGAATTCTAGAAAATCAGAGTCTGAAGCAGTGAGGCATTTTAAGGAAGTGATAAAGATACAAAGTGAAACATGGTTTAGAGGAACTGCCATAAAAAAACTGCAAAGCCTTGCTGAAACCATGATTGTCCAAAATGCAATGGATGCTACTGGACATGCTTTGCTTGGGTACATCCACCAGCAAAGAGGACAGGACATCGCAGCATTGGAGTACTATGAAAAAGCCCTCCTACTGGATCCAGACAACCAGGAGTACTTAGAAGCTTGTTCTGCTTTGCAAGCCACATTATCATGACATAATACTGTTCTATAAAATTAGAAGATGAGAATGTACTAAGTGCATCAAGATATAGCAGTCATTATCTGATTTGATCTTACCTGCTTTCAATATTGTAATGTAAATCTGGCGATGGTTACTACACTTTTTAAAGTTATACTGATTTAATCTTTCTGTCAATTAGATATGTAAGAAATTATTGTGGATCCATTTTATGAAACAAGGAGAAAAAATGCTTCATAATACCCTTAGATAATCCAATTCTATTTCTCATTTTCAAAACTGTACATGAGCAATGGCTGCTGGATTACTGAGTCAGGACCGTTAATAAGTAGTCCAAAGAGGCGCCGTCACTTCACCCATGCAGGAAGGTGACAATGTGGCTAATTTACTAAATGAGTGGAATATGTTCACTTTGCAAAGTAAATGTTTACTTAGTTTAGTGAATGAGGTGAAGCTGTCCTGATTTAAACTATCTAATCATATACCAGCAAAAATTCATTTGTTTCTCTTTTATGTGATTAGGTATTCTTTGCAAAGTGAACTTTCACCGCATTCACTAAGTGAACATTCTCTTGGAATGGGAAAATTCAGTTTACAAAATAAACATGTTCTGCTCCTTTGCTAAATCAGCCACAATGTCTCTGCCAGGGACCCCCTGACCTACTTACTCATCTTGCCAACATTCAACTATCTGCTCCTTCCTCCACTGTCACAAGACTAAGAGAGTGATGTCACCACTCCCCCTAGTCGCAGACACTGCTGATTTTAGTGCTGGCTGTGATGAAGGACACAAAAGCAACATACTAATAATCATCATGCACCCAATATCTCTAGAGCAGGGGTGTCAAACTCCATTTCACTGTGGGCCGTATCAGCATTATGGTTGCACTCAAATGGCCAGTTGTATCTGTAAGACTAGATGTCCAGAGCACCCCACCCCCCATTACATCATATGTCAAGAATCCCACACCCTCCCTAACATCACTGTGCACCCCCTTTGGGGGCAGAGCTAGACATCAGAAAGTGCAGGGTCTGGAGGAGGACCAGAGGTAGGGTGGAGTCAGTTACCAAAGTCTGCTGAATGCTGAGACCAGGGGGGGCAGAGATGAGGGGGTGCTGCAGCTATACTGAGAGGTGCAGCATTTGGCAGAGGAGTTCTATTCTCCTTTCTGCTTCCGACTGCTGAGACAAGATGGGGGCGGAGACAAGGATAGGTGCAAGGGCCACATGCAATGACCTGGAGGGCCGATTTAGTACATGTTGGTACTTCTTAACTGTCTTGTATTGTTCTGGCTTTTCATTGTGTTGTAGCATTTACTGAAATAAAAAGTTGTTACATATTAAGAATTGCAATCAACAGATCATTGAGATAAAATAAATATTCCTCTGAATTTCTCTGTGTTAATAATATAAACAATATACACTACTACAATTGCATAACAAGGGTCTCTTAAACATTTTCTCCATTGTTCTTCAAATTCAAGCTGATGGATGACTTGCTATTGGGTGATGTCTTGCACTTTACTGCCAACAACCAATAATGCATTTCATTATGATTATCATCAGTAGCTAATCTGACATAAAATAAAAGCACATTAGCATGTAAAATATTCAAAGTGAACCTGTACTTGGTACATGAAAGGCAAAGCAACAGATTAGTTTTTATTGCCCTCTACCCAGCAGCACATACATACCTTTCCTTTGCTCCTCTTCCCCTATATTCAGATACTGGGAGTGAGGAAAGATAACTTATTGTAAGCTCCAAGGTACACTGATCAGAACTTACAAAAGGCCATTGTCAGAAGACAGAGCCTGTCACACATATCAAATGCTACTGTATACCCAGAAGTAGCAGGTATTTTCCAACACCAAAAGTATACAGACTGGGATGCTGCAGCAACGAAACAGTATGGGAGAGTGGCTTGATAAGTATGACAGCCTGCGGGGGTGGACTATCTGATGGCATTGTCACTTTGCCCTGACTGGGCAAAATGACAGGGTCTCTTTAAAGATGCTCTAAACCTCTGAAATGAGAAATGAACAAAGCATATCCTTCTATAGTTGGGTACACACCTCAAATGATAGCATTGAGTGATTTCTGTCTGCAGTCGCATTCCTTTCCTATTTGCATCAATCATTTCTGACAGGTGGTATCAAATCCAAGGGATCAAGTGATTGACAGCCTCAGCTTTGCATGTTTATTTATGAGATTGTGTAGGGCGGGCTGTGTCCCTCCTCTCCACTCAGGTCCCAGGTTACACTCAGCTCTCCTCTCTGAGCTATGCAGTGTATGATATCAGATCCCTGCCCCATGCATCTGGAAGCTCAGAAAATCTGTTAATTCTGGACTTTAAATGACTGTAGAGAAGAGTGGACTGCAAATAATCAGGTACAGCCTATGTAGGAGGATTTGTTTTATCTCTGTGTATCATCTGAGGCTTGCCACTTCAGTGGGTATATGTAAAAAATATACTTTAAAATATATCTAAAACCAAAACGTTTTTCTTTGTTTTGGTTAGAATGGAAACAGGTTAAAACCTCTGTCAGGGTTTTTGCTGTTTGTATCCCATTAGGGAGATTTTTCTTCACTTCCTGACCTAGAGACGTACATTGCTCAAAAAAATTAAAGGAACACTTTTTAAGCAGAGTATCAAGTCAATGAAACTCCTGGGATTTCGATCTGGTCAGTTAAGTAGCAGGGGGGGTTGTTAATCAGTTTCAGCAGCTTTGGTGTTAATGAAATTAACAACAGGTACACTAGATGGGCAACAATGAGACGACCCCCAAAACAGGAATTGTTTTACAGGTGAAGGCCACTGACATTTTTTCCCTACTCATCTTTTCTGACTGTTTTTCACTAATTTTGCATTTGGCTAGGGTCAGTGGCACTACTGGTAGCATGGAGGTGATACCTGAACCCTACAGAGTTTGCACAGGCTGTCCAACTCCTCCAGGATGGCACATCAATACGTGCCATTGCCAGGTGGTTTGTTGAATCTCCCAGCACAGTCTCAAGAGCATGGAGGAGATTCCAGGAGAGAGGCAGTTACTCTAGGAGAGCTGTACAGGGCCATAGACGGTCCTTAACCCATCAGCAGGACCAGTATCTGCTCCACTGGTGTGAATGTCTCTGACCAAACAATCAGAAACAGACTTCATGAGGGTGCCCTGAGGGCCAGACGTCCTCTAGTGGACCCTGTGCTCACTGCCCGGCACCATAGAGCTCGATTGGCATTTGCCATTAAACACCATAATCAGCAGTTCCGCCACTGACACCCTGTGCTTTTCACTCTGAACACATGTGACAGACGTGAAAGGGTCTGAAGAAGCCGTGGAGAACATTATGCTGCCTGTAACATCGTTCAGCATGACCGTTTTGGTGGTGGGTCAGTGATGGTCTGGGAAGGCATATCCATGGAGCATCCACAGACCTTTACAGGCTAGACAATGGCACCCTGACTGCCATTAGGTATTGGAATGACCTACTGTCAAACCCTACGCTGGTACAGTGGGTCCTGGGTTCCTCCTGGTGCCTGACAATGCCCGTCCTCATGCGACCAGAGTATGCAGGCAGTTCCTGGAGGATGAAGGAATTGATACCAACGAATGGCCCCCACGCTCGCCTGACCTGAATCCAATAGAACACCTCTGGGATATCATGTTTCGGTCCATCCGATGCTGCAAAGTTGCACCTCAGACTGTCCAGGAGCTCAGTGATGCCCTGGTCCAGATCTGGGAGGAAATACCCCAGGACACCATCCGTCGTCCCATTAGGAGCATGCCCAGATGTTGTCAGGCATACATACAAGCACATGGGGGCCATACAAACTACTGAGTACCATTTTGAGTTGCTGCAACGAAATTTCAGCAAAATGGACTATCCTGCTGCATCATTTTTTCACTTTGATTTTCGGGGTGTCTTTGAATTCAGTCCTCTGTAAGTTGATCATTTTCATTTCTACAAACAATGGGCATCCTTACATTCCTAACATATTACCCAGTCTGTATATGTATAGATATCCACCATGAAATTTTTCTCCATTGAGATTTGATGTGTTTTGAAAGTGTTCCTTTCAATTTTTTCAGCAGTGTATAAAGAGAATAAACCAAACTACAATGTGAAGAGAAATTCCCTTCCAGACATCTGTCACTAGAATAGATGTCCCAGATGGAAGATTTTACTTCTATCAACTATAAGATTTTGGATTTCCCATCACTTTCAGCCTGATTGACAATGGTCATTGTGGTGAATCTCTGAATCTCTGCCTGATAGATAGATAGATAGATAGATAGATAGATAGATAGCACTGTGACAGTGACGCATACTCCTGTTTGTTTAACCACTTTCCACCCGCAATATCCTGGGGACGAGTGGCAGCTACAGGACCAGCGATATACCGTACGTCACTGGTCCTTTGCCAACATAGGGAGGTACTGTCCCACCATACACAGCAGAATTAGAGTTCCAGCAGGACCCGGAGATCACTATGCCATCAAATGATCACATCGACAACAAAGCTTTTATGAACCAATCTGATTTATAAAAGCTTTACTTTTGTTCCTGTTGAGCTGTGATTGTTCTTACATGACATAGCTGGAGCCAATCACAGATCACTATTATATTGAATTGTCATGAACTTAACACATTCATGACAGTTCAAAGCTAGCTTTACATTGCAATGCAATGATCTTCAAAAAAAGAAAATCCCTGATCACCTCCCCAGAGTAGTACAGTGTCACTATGGTAACATTGCCTTACTCTGATGAAAGTAAAAAAAAATAGTAAAAAAAGAAAAATAATGTTTAAAAAGAAATAAAAAATGTTTAAAAACATTATTGAGAGACATTTTTATTTTATTTTTTTAACTACTTGCCGCCCACCCGCCAACAATGTGCAGGCAAGAGGCGGCTATAGGTAGAGCGGCATAATCTTACGGCGCTTTCTATTTTTGGGTGTGCTGTCCAGTGAGAGAAGAACAAACACTGCACTGTGTAAAAGCACTACATTAACCGCC